TAGGCAGTTTTGGTTGAACTGTTAAAAGTATGGATATAGGAAAAACAGAGAAAAACCTGAGACACCTGACAGGAATAACCAGAGGCATGGAAAGACAGCTCTATATGGAGTCTGAGACTGAGATTTAGTTTAGAGTCCAGATTAATAAATGTTGCCTGGTATGAATATATAAAATAATGATTATTACAGGCATTTATTCAGAGCCTGGGGGTTATGAATAAAGCTAGGCACAAGGGTTCTTTCCTAGCCTATAAGAATTCTAGCCATTCAAGAAAGGTCCTGTTAGTATTAGGACAAATCCTTTCACAATTTCCACAAAAGCAGAGATACCCAACCTATTACAGACAATAGTTCAGTGGCAATGACAGTTGCCTTGGATGCATTAGATATTCAACTGAGTTTAAGTCTCTATTCAGCTAGATTCAGAAAAGGAAATTGAACCAAAGTCGCATGTCTTAAAGGATAATGCCCAAACTATTAGGCTCTGGGTATTGTAATGCAGATTTCTCTCAAGGTTTCTTGTTCTGCAGTTCCATTTTCAATAAATTAGTTATTTGCTATTTGAAATTAAAGCTACCTAAAGGAAGATTCTTTTAACTACCTTTGATATGAGAAAGGCTTCAGGCTCGATAAAGCAACAACTTCTATCAAAATCTCTGTTAACTTGAAAAATGCCCTAGCAGCTTTGGTACTTCCAAGATCAAATGCAAATAAGTTTCAGACATTTGTGAACAGTCTTTTTTTTTGTCCCAGAGGGGACAGTGAGACCAGGCCATGCAATCTCTTCCTGTTCAAGATATCAAGTAATTATAGGCTGGTAAATCAGTGCTACTATCAGCCATCAATGAACCTCTCATATAAAATAAAAATAACAAAATAGGCAATAAAACTAAAGCCATTTTCATTTAGAATTGATCAAGGAAAACCACAACAGCATATTGCGCACTTTTTCTTTGCTGAGTCACAATGCTGTTGAAAATTTTTATACCTGGGAGGATAAGGCCTTTAATTTGAGCTTTAACTAACATATGAATCATCTTTATTGTGATTTCTTTATATCCTTCCTATCTGTAAACTTGAAAATATGCTGTTCCCAAATTAAATACTAATTTTCATGTGATTTTACCCATAAATCCGCTTTTCATTTCTATAGTTCGTCTTAAATTTGACTATTACCTGACTCTATTGAGATGCCTATTGATCACAACTTTTAATTATTAGAACTTCCCTATGCAGGGCTTCTCAAAGTACAGAGATTCAAATCAACTAGAATCACATAATATAGTTTATCCATAGCTATACAACAAATATTTATACTTGAAGACCTCTACTCACCTCCAAAGTTTACCATTCTACCAATTCATAGCTTTTAAAAATTTTCCCTTCTGTAGAAATGTTTCTCTTCTCTCCACACTCCTACTCAATTTTCCAATTCCAGTTTTCTTTCAGTCCTCTCTATTCTTCTCTGTCATTATGTGTGTTATTACAGTGGGACTTTTTAACAATTTATCCCAAATTCATAACGCTGGTATCTAAGCACCCATTGATTTCCCCGTTTCACATACTAGCAAACACCCACTTCTCTAGAGCAATCAAGTCAACATTATGCTAAGCAGTTCCCTACACTGGTAGGTCCCCTCGCACACAGAAACATTAATATGATGTTGACTTACAATCTGTATCAATTTGAATTCTGTTCAGTACAAAAGGAGCAATAGCATTAAATTCGGTAGGTTCCCTTGCACACAGAAACATTAATATGATGCTGATTTACAATCTGTATCAATTTGACTTCAGTACAAAAGGAGCAATAGCATTAAATTGTGCAAAAGGTAGTCCTTCTAAAGACAGATTATGAGACAGTGAAAGTCCTGTGTGGGAACCACAAATGCTGCCAAATGAACTGCACATAAATCTGCTCAGTCAATAACCAGGATACAGGCTGCATCCTTCTACTTGTGCTGAGTGCTATCCGACCATATGAAAAGCTCCACTGCAATGAAAATAGACACTAGCAAGGCAGAAAAAGATTTATCTTTAAAACCAACAGCCTGTCATGAATATAAGTTTCTATTCCCACCACAACGACCCCCAATTTACCATATTAAAAAGCAGCACTAGTTCACAATGTAATGCACTTGGATACCAAACTAGGTGATACATCTACTGCCAGAAAAGTAATGTGTAATGAATCACATTATTCCTCTAGTGTTTTAAACAGGTAGAAACAATAACAAAAGAATTGCCAAGGAAGTCCACAGTTCTAACTTTATGCTGTCTATAGACTAAAAATAATTCACAGATGTCATTTTCAAAATTAGCATTTCTATTAAAAAGAAAACCAGACTGATCCAAGTTATCTTGACTTACCAGAATAATTCCACTGAGGCAGATAAATGCATCTGCACCCACACTGCAGGACTTAATTCCTAGGCTATCATTTTATTTTTTTCCAATATGTATGTTTAATTAAGTCAGAAAATTTGACAAATATTTGTCTTATAGCTGCAATGCAGTTCATTTAATTGACTACTCCTGAGCTGAGATTTAATACACACTACTCTACAGAACTGCCTGAAAAAGCATTAACACATTTAAAGCAATTTCCCTTTTTAGAGCTTCAGAATGCACTATGTTTTCTATGGTTCATTACTGCCAGTGGACTTTTGAACCACAAATTCTTCCTATCACCTTAATTAATACATTCTTTTAAAGTTAAGTTACTTTTAAAACACAGGTTCATAAAATCCTTCAGCTCTACATCCAAAGGAGCTGTCAAATTGAAATAAACCAATTACAGGCCTAAAAATATGGGAATTCAAAATGGGGCACGAGGAGGATTTAGTCACTCCCAGCCAAAATGGTGATCCTCAAGGTCCTTATCTCATCCTGTAGATGTCTATTCTCTGACAACAATACAGTTTTCTATGGTAAGATAGGCCAGACACGGGAGCTGCATCTCTGTGCATGGCCAGAGTTCACCTAACCAGCTAGGACTGAACATCCCACTGCACAGTTTATGTCTAAGCCTATCTGGGATCTGGAAAAGAAGCCCACCCCTGCAGAGATGATCTGAGGAGCTAGATCCAACAGCTGGTCTCAAAGCCAGCTTAAGCCAGCCTAATAAACACCAACCAGGTGGGTTTCCTACAAAATTCTTCAGGTGCCATTTCTGTAAAATGGTACACGATCAGCACTCATTCCTAACCCAGCACAGGACTACTCATCCCAGAAGCAAAATCCCCAGGTTCAATTCCTTCTTCAGTCTAGGACTCAAAGCAATGTCTCTCAGCAGAATGTTCTAATCAATAGACTACAGGCTGCGTTACATGCTGGGATGAGGAAAGGGATATATTAAACCTCTCCTGTTGAAGCTGTATCATTGTACAGAAAATAATTCAAGAGTCATTGGGCCAGAGAAAGAACACAAGAGGGAGCAAGAGTCTGTAGCCTAGTGATTTGGGCACTCAGCTGGGAAAAGAAGTCCTGGGTTCCTGGCCTTTGCTCCATAGGAGGTTCATGTAATTTATCTAACAGCCTTTTCCATAGTATAAGTCCTAGCCTGAGTCTGGCTATGTTTTCCTTCTTGATCCAAGTTCATAAATAACATTTTGTGTAATCGCATTTATCAATTTGAATTTTGCAAACATCAACATGTCTTTTGTATGCTTTTAATGCTAAATTTTAAACAGAGAACATCAAAAAACCTGAAATGTGCCAAAACTCCAAAGCTGATTTCATATTAATTTTGCTTTATATACATATAAAATGCAATAACTTACTTGACAGAGGGTTAAAAATAATATTAAAATGCAAATAAGTTTATTTATCTGTGACAATAATGATGCATTGAATTACTAAGATGTAATTTACTTTTTTCATCTCACCTTTCTCAGGATGTGGTAAAGTTTTTAAGACATTACAACAATAGTAATAGACTTCTGATCTCTTAATTCTGCTCAGTTTCAGTTTCTGATTCTCACTTAATAGTATTTTCATTTTCTGGTTCTCATTCCCTAGCACAACAGTGCAATGTCATGCAGGCAACTGTTTAAATCCAAGCAAGTTTACCCTGAAATTCCCACTCCAACAATTTCATGGACATATTTCTGTTTTTGCTAAACATTCTTTTTATAATAGCTTCATTTTGGGCCTAAGCCTACATAACAGGGTCCCTTTAAATAATATTCCATGCCTTGAAACATATTACAAAAACTGTTATATCAAGGCAAGTTATGCAACAGCTCTCTATGGTTTTAGCATATTTACTCTGTCACGCCATATGTGAGACTGCAGCCTCCACAACAAAACCTTTACACACTGAAGTCATTATCTCTGTGAAGTCTGCAACTGGCATTTAAAACTTATTGATGGCCTGGGTATTGGTGGCTCAGTAGGCAGCACTCTTGCCGGAGGCCCAGAAGGTCAGAGGTTCACATTCTGCTCAAAGAACAAGTTGGACATATTCCAGGATTGTGTGTGGGCTGTGCTAGACTCCTAAAGGGGCAGTCCTTAGGACAGTAAGTAAAAACTTGTCTGTTTTGTGGATATCAAAGTCCTCTTGGAAATGGAAGAGGAAGAGTAAGAGGCAAGTTTAACTTGCCTGAAGCAAGTGAATGAAAATGAGCTTACTTGCCAGAGACCTGGATTTAGTTGTATGTGCTAAATACAGAATGATACAACTACAGTACACTGAACAGTTTTAAACAAGCCATTTTGGTTTTTGTGGCAAGCGTATGTTCAAGACACAGGTACAGACTGCCAGGCATGCTCAGCATTAGCTGACTTCCATAAGAGCAGAATGACTTGGGATTCAATTTCACACCATGGGACTATGAAAAATGCATATGTAGTTTCAGTAAGGGAGGAATCTAAACAAAAAAGGTTTAATGTCAGTAAAACTTCAGAGCATGCTATATAATTACTGAAAAAATCTTCAGCCAAATATCCAAGTCAATACTAGCAACATATATAGAGAATAATATAAATGGAGATTCAACCTGCTCTGGTGTTAAACTTTGATACTTGAATATCCCAGATGTCTCCCTCCTCCTCCTCTTCTTTATAGATGGGTAAAGATGGATCTCTTGAAGAAACTGGGGATCACACTCTAGGCAAAGGTTGGACAGGTGATCAATGTACAGCATGAGATTTTGCCGTGGCTATGTGCCTCCAACAGTGACTGGATCATCTGGTTTAGAAAAACAATTAAAAATTGTAATATTTTCTAAAGAACTTATTTAGGGGAAAAATTAGCAAAAGGGAGAACAAATGTTTTCTATAACATGGAATGTATCACAGAACTTCTTCCCATAATTATATAGTTCATTTTAAAAATTCATTTGTTTCTTAACATTTAGTTCGTTAACATTTTATTTCCTTAGAAGATAGCCTTTAGAAGACTGTATCCCATTTTCCATTGGCAGAATGTGTTTAATAGTTACAGATGAGATATGAAGTTATTCTCATAAGTTTCAATTTCTTTTTTTGGTGTCTAGCACAACCACACTAAGTGCCAAGGCCAGGTCTGGCCCACTATTTAAACAGGCTTTGGAGCAAGCCACTATTTATTAGCCAAATGGGATTCTACTCTGTAGCGCACTTCAGGGAGGTATTCACAGAGGTCAATGTTTGTTAATGAAGATTCATCTCCCAACACTCCCTCCACAGACTTTCATTCAATAGACTGGAAAACCATTTTCTAAAGGACCATTCAGAGCACCTAAAGTGAGACTGTTTCCTCTAGCATTTAGGAACATCACCTTTTATCTACCTATCTTGTACACAGTGCTTTTTTTTTACCATCACAGAAAAACAAATAATCCCCTCCTTCCCAGAAATATCCATTAGTATAATGGACCTTTAAGTTTAAGTTTGGTGAAATCGACCTGTATTTAAGCAACAATGTTTACACACAGTAAAAGAGATCATGAATTACAAGCATCATGACATCTACAGGTTACCACACAATTAACGTGTAAGCAATAAGATTCTGAAATGAATGAAATAATGCCATCATTAACTTGTATTTTAGAAACAGAGGAACCCATAACATAATCCTAGTGCAAATTTGCAAAGAATCATGAGTTCATTTTGTGGCTAAAATAAGAAAAGAAGCTATTTCAAGAAACGAAGGATGTCCTCTTAACCCGTGACAACAAATTTGTTTGTTTTTTTCTCTTCTCAGTAAGAAAGCAATTAGGTTTTTTTCCAATAAAAATATCCTTGTCCATATATAAACACTCATGGTAATCATGTAATTACCTTACCCAATCAGATTAAATTGCTGTCAGTTGAGTTCCCACTGTTGATTAACTTTCGTGTACTCTAAAACTAAATGAAGTCTTTGGTAAAGTCACTTAGTCATTTACAAAGGTGTCTCTATGATTCCAAAAAGTATAACAGCAATATATTATTTGCTATAATCATCAAATATCCAAGGTCAAGGATAGATCACAGTGGACCCCTTTTTTAAAACCCAAAGAAATTAAGAATTAAACTATGTTGCTTATTTTTGTGTTTCTTACCATGACTTCTAAATGTAATAGTAACCTTTGACCCCCCCACATTAAACACCATAATTATGTAATTAAAACTAATTATGCAATTTAACATACATATTTTTGTCCTACATCAGGCAGGTCAATTACCTCACTCATTGACCTTGGAAGCTTTCACAGTTTAAACAAAACAATGAGGCTTTCAATTAATTTTAAAGTACAAACAGAGAAGGAGCAGCAGAACCACAAGTCTTCAAGCTAATATTGCATAGATGGATCACTTACAAATCTCTTCACTTTGTATTACAGAAAATAAATCCCTTGATAAAAACTTGTAAATGTCTTTCTTTCTTATATGCTTCTATCATAGAAATGTTAACACATTTGTGAACAAATCATATACACGTTACTTGCCAAATGCAAGCAAGAAAGGAAGCAATATATTATTATTATTTGTCCTGCTTCTTTTCTTCAGTATGGTTTACTTTGCTACATCTCTCTCTGCTTCACCTTAACTTTCTGAAGTCTTTTTCTTTCTCTTTTTTCTTTTTTATCTTTGTTCCATTTCTTTGTTCCATTGCTAACTGTAAAACTTGATAGTAATTTATATATTATCAAACTGCTGTAGCTGTTGTCTTTTCCAATTTCCACTTGCATCCCTAACCTCAGTCACAGGACAGTGTTTCTCAGCAGATCCTGGCTCCTGTGGATGACAATCCAACACACTGAGCGAACTCTGAACTGCAGAAAGTTACAGCTAAAACAGACATGGTACATGCTCTAAGAAATATTCTAAATTTTCCAGTGCTGGAAGCTTGGTACAAGTGAGAGACACTTTATGAAATTATTGAAATATGTTTCACCTCGATAATGTCTTTATTCTCTTCATACACTTAGGTAAGCTATATATACTGCACAGAAAAAAATTAAATTGCATAACAGAGACTCATGCAATATTACATTTTGTCCAAGGATCTTCTTTCTTTTCAAAGAGTAAAATTAGTAAAATTCAACTACATTTTTAGTTTTCAGTACACTAATTCCCATTCACTAAAGAACAATTCTTAATGCAGGTATAAGTCTAGGAGCTCTTCGTTAAAAAGGATCACATTCTGCTATCTTTTTTTTCAATTGCTATTGTAGCCACAAACAGATCCATCAAAATTAATAGGCTTAACTGTGAAGTAAAGCAATAGTCAATGTATAGATAGGTATACCAATCAAGCTTCAAGTTGTTTTCTGGTTTTATGTGGGTATCAAAAAATAGTTCCTGGCAAAATACATGTGCAAATCTTTGCTGACTTCTTGAAAGCAAGGCAAAAATATCTACAGCACACTTTATGCTCTGGTGTAATTCGAAACACCATTTTTGGAGTCCTTTTGGTTCTCTGCTTTAATTAGCCCTGATTTGCACAAGCAGCTCAAAAAGATATCAGTAAACCTTTGACATAATGGAAACAAGGAGCACTGAACTCTGATGAGGAGTTACAACAGGAAAGAAACAATTTAGGATGGTAACAGGCCTTATTGCTACATTAAACCTCAAACTGGATCTGATTTATATAAAGTAAACCAATATATTGAAATAGTGCCCCAAACTTCTGGACAATAGTTTGAAGGAAAATAATATAGTGCATGTATACAAATTCTATGCAAGGGAACAGAGGAGATTATTCCTTATACTCTCATTTAATAAAAATGTTCCTTCTGTTTTGAACGGAACATTGAAATTCTATTTCAGCTCATAGAGCATCCCAAACAGAGCAGCAAAAGAATGCGTGAAGGAGTCCAAATATGGTGCTATTGAAACAGAGTAGATTAGAGGAATTGGGACAGAATCCTACAAGTGGGTAAATAGCAGCAGGAGCTCAGCTTCACAAACAGCAGGATGCTGTTCTTTCCAGACGTGAGTGACATAATACAGGCAAAACAATCAAGATTTTAGCTGATAAATGTATGCATTAGGAAAAGGACTCGCTGTAGAACTTTCATACTCAACAAACTTTTAGGTAAATTCTGTAGATGTAATTTACACTGGAGAGCATTTTGTCTTATGTGCACGTCCTGTTAATCACGTAAAAACATAAAGACAATAATTTTAAAAGTCTAAATGCAGAAAACACAAGAATATTTGCCTAACAACTCAGTAAATGGATAAAGCCAAAAGCTTTCATAGTTTGACACAGCTTCAATTCCATCCTGAGCAAGTGTATGTATATTAGCTTTACCATATATAATGATATTAGCCCTCAAGTATCTAGGATATCTAGAATAAATAAGCAACATAATCTATGTAATCCTATTGATTATTAATAAAAACCATACTATAGCAGTATTATTAGAGAAGTTTTATGGTTCTGAAGGGAATAGTTGCATTTGTAAAGATACATATTGAGATATCAAAATAGGGTGCACTTAATGAAAAAACAGAGCAGTAGATCATTTTGATTTCTAAATTCAATTATTGTTTAGCTAAGGAAGTGCAAACTATTATGCGTAAAACATTCATCTATCTTCCCAAATTTTTCCCTGTCCTCCACAAAAAAATCCTTGTGGACTAATTCAGTAATTTTGAACTAAATTATAATTCTTAGGTCAAGAACAGATTCCTGCCTGGAGTACAGGCCACACTTCCCCTTGACTCTTAGAACATTGAGAGACAAGAATTTCTGAGTGGTGGGGTAACTGCAGGAGGACTGGCAGAGAGCTAGAGAGCATTGGAGCACACCACAGGTCCATCCACTGCAGCACCCTTTCTCCTGTGGTGGCTCCTGGTATAGTCTCCCATCTTAAGCAACCTTCATGGCATATAATTTCTGCATTTCATAGCCTCTGACGGATTTTGTTGTTTTGTTGTTTTTTTTTAAACTCCCCAGCTGCTGATGTTATATAATACTCAGATTAATCTTAATATGAGGGATAGTAACTAGCTGTCGTGAATTCACTTCTTTGTCAGGGACAGCTTTATACTTTCTAGAAACTCACAGGCATTTGGTTAAACCTTATTAGCTCTACAGTTACCGAATATCCAGTTGACTTTTAATTCAGAAATCAGTTGAAGAGGTGGTTGTGCCTTTGGGTACATCAGCTATAGTGATTAAGGAGTCAAGACAGAGCAAAGGCCAACCAGAAGCACAACGGCACAGAGTTCCTCTGCCATGGCTTGGGGGATCACATAAGAACATCATGACATTTGCAGAAGACACCTGAAGACTGTATTTCCTGAGCCCTTTCTCAGCCCATGACCAAAATTTCATCTATGATCTGATCACAAAACAGACATTTTGCATCACATGATTGAGTGAGAGAACATTACAGATGATGTCCATATTTTGGTAATTTGATGGACATGTAGATACATTTATGGTCATTTCTTCTGGAGAAAGACCAGATTACAGAGCAGATCAAGTTCTTGTTAGCTGGCTCCAGTCTATGGGTCTTGTCACAAGTTGGCCATCTGTGTTGTCAATGTGTATGATTTCTGGAGATCTTTCACAAAACTGTACGATCAAGAATTTGAAACGATAAAGAGATAGCCATAGTATTCAGCAGTTCTAGCTCTAGTTCCCTGGTCATCTGAAAAAAAAGTGAGACAATGCTGCTTCTCCATTACCTGCAGCATTGTGCAGTTATTGAAATATGTAGTCATCTTGTTCTCATCACCACAGGGAGTGTGACTGACTTACATGTA